CTTTGGACGCATCACAACACCCATGTTTTAAAACGAGGAGGGATTTATGTCTTGAATTCTTGTTGCGAAGTATTCCATATGTAACACTACGAGCCACTTACCCACTTGATTTTATCTATCAGTCAATGTCAAATTGGATGATACACGGATAGATGCATAGATTAGATTAGATGATTTAACACTGCAAATACCCACCATGCAGAATCGCTGATTTGGTGTGCACAGAACGAGAACAGCTTTCCTTGTTGGGCCAAGTACTGAAAAAGTTACCTGGGCTGTCCTAGTGACAAGCTAACGCAATTTTTTTTTTTTTGTCTGGCTGTAAATAGCATCACACAAGAGACATTTGACGCTGGATATCCCACCCAAGTACTTAAAAAAAGGTGTAAGGGGAAGAAAGTTGCGCCTATTGTGCCTAAACATATTTCGTGCAACCCGGGCAACCTGTGAACGTTTTTGTTTTTCTCATTTCCTGTTCAACAAATATGTTTTACCAGAATCGGCCAATGAGTCCCATCTGGTTCAGGAGTCCTCTTCCTGGAAGCTTCCCTCACTGTTCCGCCACATTGCTAGCATTCAGCTGACTGGGCATTTATTGGCTTTGTCGCAGGGTTTCACATATGTGGCTCCGTCCGTGCTGGAAAACGTCAAGGACAAATTCTCGTCGGAGCCAAAGGTCCCGGGAAGCCCGAGGACTCCTGTGAGGTGACGACAAATGATAGCTTTCTCTCTTTTGGACACATTCGTTCATGTAATTGACTGACCTAATGTTGGGAAAAATAACAGCAGCTAATTTCCTGTCGCAGCCCGGTGATGTTCGCACGGGGCGACTGTTGGCCGCAGGGAGCCTCTGCGGAACAACCCAAGGAGACGGTCGGCAATGGAGCAAACGGACTCGAGCAACAGCAGCAGCGCCGTGTCGGAAGCCTCGGCACCGATTCCCATCAGATGGCCGTCGAGCGGCGGCGAGCAGCTCTACAAAAAAAAAGCCGATCCTCTGAACGCCAAACGACCGGAACACCTGCGGATGAACCGATTACGCTCGGCGCAGCCCCTTCCCCGCTCTCAGAAATAATGTGCTGTCACTGTTGATGTCATCAACAGCGCTTCCATCTCTTGGCCTTGCTCCAGAATCTTGCTTTTGGTGCGAGTCACCAATGTCCTTATTTACCGTCGGTTTGGTTTCATGGTGCATTGGGGAGTGAGTTTTGAGCTCCCTTTCACAAACACGATTTTTTTACTTTCGCTGGAGGTTTTTAAAAGGGCCTCATACTGTGTGTGTTTGTATGTTAAGGATTTTTGTTTTTTGGGTGAAACTTTGTTCTACGTTTCAGTTTTTTGGTGAGTAAGAGGTTCTTGTTAGTGTCAGGGTTTTTTTCGTTCACTGAGCAGTTTTTGGGTGAGTGTGAGAGGTGTTTTGGGGTTCGTGTGAGTTTTTGGAGCGAGTATGAATGTTTTTGGTGAGTATGAGTGGTAAATGTTATTTTTGGTCGACACGGCACTTGATGTTAAAGCCTTTGCATTTCTACATTGACTGTTACCAAGATCATGAATACTCGGTTGAGTGTGAACCATGATGCTGCGGGGGAAAAAGCCTCTGGATTGAAGCCATTGGATGCCTTTTTTTTTTATTATTTTGACTCTTTTATGATTGTTTTTTTTTTTTGAATGGCTTAAATAATTGCCAACCAAATGCTTTGAACTTTTCTCTCGCATTCAAAAGATGGATCAGTGTTCAATTGATTTTCTTCCATCCGCGGTAAAGCTATAACAGTGAATTTTTTTTCCGTCTTCATTTAAGGGCCATTGGCTCACTATGCAAACTGCGTAACTATTTATTGTTTCGTCTTATTTCAACAGCGTGACAGCATTTTGGAAGAAAAGGTTATTTGATATTCTTTCTCATTGTGTTTTTTTCCTCACACAAACACTGTTAAAATGGCAACCACAAAAGCAGCTTTCAATTAAACACATTTTCCAGCATGTAACGATTTTTGTGCAGCAATGTCTTTTTTTCATGTGTTTCATATATGCTACTGTTCTTGACTGAATGAAACTTAATTTTTTGACTGCGCTTTGGGCAGCATGCAGAAGGTGAAAGCAGCGTGGGTGGAATCGCATATTTTGTATTATGTCCTTAGATTGTGACTGATGTGAAAGTGATTTTTTTTTTTTAAGGTTTCGGATCAGTGAATCCACATTTGAGATGTTTGGCTAAACGATCAAGGACATCTGTTTTGCTTTTAATTCACTGTTGAGCAGTGACGAGAATTGAGTTTGGAAAGTTAGTGAATGTTGACATCTGTTTTGAAGATGTTCGATACTGTATATTTGAACAGTAAAAACTTGAAATGTTATTTGGCTCGGAGCGCATTCTGTCGTTCATCCGGGGTTTGACGAGACCACCTCGAGTAGGCAAGTCCAGCTCCGATCCGCAAGAGCCGCCCTCTTGCCCGTTTTCCCATCTCTCCCTGTTGCAACAGACCTGATTCCAATGTTCAGCTCATCAGCAAAGCTCTGAAGAAGCTTGATCATGATCCTGATCATTTCAGTCATGTCTGTTGCAGCGGGGAGAGATGGAGAACAGTCACGACAGC